CCGGCAAAAATTATAGAAATGCTCAGGTGTTCTATGAGAACGCATCTTGCTTTTACGAAAGCAATAAGTACGACATCCTATCAACCTGCAGGACTGGGAAGCACCTTAAACAAAACGTCTCTCACCTCAATTCAAAATACTTTAGACTGGCTACTAAAGCTTTTTTTCTTGACCCGTCGCCATTATGCCACGGGTTCACATGTCCCAAAGATTTATATCACCAGTGCCCGTCGTCGTACTGCATACCTGCTAGATCAGTTTGCGACGGGGTCAAAGACTGTCATGATGGCAGTGACGAAATAGCCTGTAACAGCTACTCCTGTCCAGGTATGTACAGATGTCGGGGGCAAAACAATTGCTTACCGCAGAGTCAGGTACGGGACGGAATCCCTCAATGTAAACTGCGAGATGATGAAACATTCTATGGTTTTCAATGTCCACCCGAGTGCTTTTGTGAAGGGTTTTCGGTAATTTGCCCTGGATTAGTATTCAAGAGGTCACCAAATTCTAATCAGAGTAGATTAACTGAGGCGCCTCGTATAATAGGAAGAGATATGGTAAGGAGTCTCATTTTAAAAGATAATCATATATCAGAGGTCACATTGGATAACTGCACGCGACTGCTATATCTTGACTTATCAAACAATTCACTGGTTGAAGTTAATGAAACTATGTTTCAAGACACTGTCAACCTACGCGGAATTGACCTCTCAAAAAACAATATTAGCATCATCCAAAGTGATGCATTTTCCAATATGATTTCTCTTCAAGTTCTGAACATAAGCAACAACCCAATAGTTTCTGTTCCGCGGCATTGTTTCTACAATCTTCCCGCTTTGCAGCATCTTGATCTGTCAGCTGGTCTACTGCTTGTCCTGGACAACTGTTCGTTTTATAACGTCTCCGTTGGTGTTTTAAACATATCGAGAAACTTTGTCCAGACATTTAATGGCTGGTTGTTTTGTGGTTGGCACAAAGTACTGGCGATTGATCTATCTGGAAACCCGTTGGAAGTCAAACAGGACGAGGCACCAAGTGATGTCGACGTTATAATTGCAGATTCGTTCAGCATCTGCTGCATGTTTCATCAGACAAATTTATGTCAGTCTCATGTTGATTTTTTTGCATCGTGTTCAGATATGTTTATGGATAAAGTAATTAAGTACTCTTGCTTTTGTTTGGGTCTTCTTTCTGTGGTGTCGACGTTAGGATTGCTTAAATCGTATTTTAGGCTTGAAGGACTGTTTCGGATGAAAGAAGTTGCTGTTGCATTGAATGTCATTGAAGTGCAAACGATTATACCAGTTGCGATAATATTTGTTAACAGTATGTGGATGGCAGATCCTTATTCCAGCCTGTCTAATTCCTGGCGGAGGAGCCCATCGTGTCACGTTGCATCTTTTTTCTACATTTTTCCTCAGGTTTGTGTTCCTATAATAGTATTTTTCGCTGCTATACAGGCGATAATATTACGAGCCGCTGGAATCGAGAAAGCACATGTGTTAAAGCGCATAGTGTGCGTTGGCATAGTTGTTGTCCTCATCATGTTAGTAACCTTTAGTGTTCTTTTGTCCATGGAGGTACAAATCCATACTGGTACCTGTTATCCTTTCATGTTAAGCAGTCTTATGACTGAAATACAGTATAATTCTTTAACGATTGAAATCACATATCTATCAATGTCTGTAATTTCTTTATCTACTTTCGCAGGAGTTTTTATGTATCTGTTGTATTCTCTGAGATCTCCGTCATCCCTAACCGATTTTCGCAGTATGTGCTGCTTTTTGGAAATTGCCTTATCCGATGCCATACGCTGGTTCCCGTTCACAGTCTCGTGTATCTTGCACTTAAAGAACAATCCGGTGTCTGATTATGCTGCGCAGTGGGTGCAGTTAGTTGTGCTTAACATGCGGCCCATCGCATGTGCCTTTATTCATATTTGTTTAGGGCCTTTGTGGAAGAAAGTTGAGCGTTTTTTTGTACAGACAGGGGTTGGGTCCACTAGTCAACCAGCATTGGGGAGGCAAAGGATGGAGGCAAGAGAAGAACAGGAAGACACGCGATTATAGAATATATATATGAACAATCAATGTACCTACATCAAAAAGTGTATTTTCTAAAATGTCATGTTTTAATTGTAGAATATTCATTTTATTTCCAATCTTACGTGATTTAACTTTAATGCTTCATTCAGCTTTTAGTTTTGTAAATGCAGGGCTAGATACTTAAACTATTTATGATTGTGTAAGTTGGTCTGAAGGTTAGGCTGTATTGTTGCAATTAGAAAACTTTTCAAATTTTGTGACTTAAATCTGAATGCTTTGGTTGAGGCATCTTTTAATGAAATGTGAAATAAACCAGCGAAGCTGTTGGGTTTGTCGAGATGAATACCTTATAGCAATTGCAAATTTATTTCAAAAGAAGTAGTCATGATTTGAATATATATAATACTCTATCCGTGAAATTGATTTCTGTAAAAATGAGTGTTAATTAATACGTAGTTGGTATTTTCTGTCGTTTGAAAGAACAATTTAATTGATGTATATTATATAAATTTTTAATATAACAATTTAATTTATGATCATTTTATATTTTATGTAATTGTCTCTTATAACTTTTCACATTGCATATCTGTAACACAAATTTTCCTGGTAATTTCCATTATTGATATTTCATGATAACCGATCTAATTTCTTTTGATTTATCTGATTCTATTGTATTGTATTATCTGAATGTAATTATATAATCAGATTTTCAAATTTATGCATTTTGTAAGATACTATTTTAATGAAAGATTTAAAGATATTCACGATGTTTCAAACATTACCGCTCAGATATTCATTCATCAATAATCCGTCAGTGTGCATTAATTATGTGTATAAAAAGTATCTTCACCAAGTTATGGTTTTACTTACTTTTTTATTTTTGCTTCCACTTATGCTGTGACACGCGTTTGTTAGAGACATGCAATCACCACTAAAGGTGTATTTTTCAATCGATGCAATTGTGAAACAAGCATGCATATTGTCACATGACATATTACAAGCTATAAGCTGCTTACACCTTATGTTCAACCTGCAGTCCACGCCCTCTTAACGACTTGCATGACGTGGTCTGATGGGATCCAGAAACTCCTTTTTACACTTGATCTTGGGGTTGCGTGGCTTAGTCAATCACAAAAAAAAAAAAAATCACAATTTTCAAAATGAGTCAAACTGGCCACTCTGCCAAGCTACACAATTAGCAAATATAAGTCCAACAGTGAAATGGCTCTCTTCATTATGCTTAACCAAAATGTGAAAGGGCAGGTCACAAATGTTGACCTAATTACAAATTATGACAGTTTGTCAGTCATTGTTCAACTATGTCCAATTGGTAAAGAAATCCAAATAAAAAAAAAAGACGACAAAAACTAAAAGGTGTGACAGAATCCGTTGTCAACGTACCCTAGGGGCATTGAAAGATGAATGACACTAATACTTCAGATCACGGCTAGTGTAAAAAACAGACCAACAGACCTGCTTTAATAAGATTTCAGTACCATCAGCTGATACAAGGTCAACAGAAAGTAAATTATACAAAATCTTTAACAGTGTCAAAATAGATAATTTCGCCGAGCTCCCTCTCCAATTCTATAATTGAGTCATTTAAGAAAAGAAATGGCATAATTGCTCTTATCGGTAACTTCTGGCATATTCCTTGAACTGCAAAATACGACTGCTCTAAATACTGTACATGTACATTGTTTTAATATACATTAAACTAAATCCATTGTACGCACTTCACGTTCACACATCATCTCGACAGCCAGTTGACGCACATGTACCGGGTAGCTTAGACCAGTAGGTTATGAGACGACCGTCACGAGTGAAATATTTAAAAAAAAACGGATATATCTTTAAAGTACTACTTAATTAAAACTGCAGATGAAAGACACAAACGTTTACCACACCACAAGACGCCAAATAGTCCATGAGCCAAAGGCCAAAAAATCCAATTTNTATTATGAATATTCATCAGTTCTGTAAGTTTCAAGGCAAAAGGTAAAATGGTTTTCCACTTATCGTGTTATCAGTGCTGCATACATGCTGAAAAAAGTGAAAAAACAGCATAAATTCCCCAAAAGTGACCCGATCATGCTGATTTTCGAACTTGACCTGCGTATTATGAATATTCATCAGTTCTGCAAGTTTCAAGTCAAAAGGTAAAATGGTTTTCCACTTATCGTGTTATCGGTAAAAGTGCACGGCGACGGCGACGGCGACGACGGCGACGACGGCGACGACGGCGACGACGGCAGCGACGACGGCGACGGCGACGACAGACGCAGATGATGGCTATATGTACAGACACATCTGTGTCTGTACATAAAAATGGATATATCTTTAAAGTACTACTTAATTAAAACTGCATATGAATGACACAAACGTTTACCACACCACAAGACGCCAAAGGAGTATCTGTTACTGAAACTAGCGGTTGATTGAAAAACGGAGGTAAGTTACAAGGATTAATGCAGGGACCATTTACACATCAAACTGTATCCAATCCAGGATTTCCGCGACAAATACAATTTACCACGAAGTTCTCCATTACCCGCCAATCATTGGAATCGCCATCTCAAGGAACCGAAACACTGCGACAGTAAGGCTCTATTCCCATAGATTTTAGATCGATCTATCCCCGCGGGGAGTCTCACTAGATTACTTTCAGATAATCCGACTTAAATGTCCGTCCCGCTTACCACAAGCTGTAAGGGGGTTATTAACTTTCGCGTCCGCCCGGCTGACAGCTATTTAGCGTGAACCCCCAGGGAGTTAGGTCGATCTAAAGTAGGTCGATCTAATCTATGGAAATGGGGTGTAAGATCATCCTTGGGGACTGATGTGGAGCGGGACTAAATGCGGTGCCCGGACTATCCATTGCAATTAAAAGATAAATACTGAAGCTGCCATGGCTTTCTCATTGAGAAGAAAGAAAATTTATTTGAATCATGATTATAACAGCTCCTCTGACTTTGGCAAAGCCAGTTATTAGGAAAAGGGACCGAGTTCTGGTAAACTACATATGTACATCTGGTTCTTTTTGCTTTTAATATAGTTTCTGAGTCTCGTTTGGTTTCTAAGAGAGAAAACTTGTACATTCGGAGGGAGGGTGGGTGGGTGTCAAAGCGCAGAAATCAGTTCAAAGACAGATGCATTATTGAATAATTAGATGCAGGAAAAACCTCATTTTCGTTATCTGGGCGATATTAAAGGGTTACGATACCCTGAAGCCTGTGCTGTTGCCTAGTAGATCAGAGTCTGAACTGTGCTGCCATCTACAGTATTAGTACATGTCTGTACAGTCTTGGCTTGACTAGCAAGTGCTGCCATCTACAGGTACCAGTGTAACTATAACCAGGTAGTGACTAGAAATTGCATAGTTTTATATGTCATGATTTGACTATGGCGTTACAAAAGTTTATGTGTTGTTGAATAAAATGTTTCAGTAACAATGAGGTATCAGCAAGTGCTGCCACCTATTATTGCATTTGATGCTTTACATATGCTGCCATTTATTGTTTGTAATTTGACAAAAAATTGTAGCTCATTTCTCATCTTCCTCATCTTTGAGGATAAGCTTTTGTAAAGACTTCAGATCTTCTTCCTTAGCTTGTGGTCCTTCTTTAGTCGTGATATACCCACGATAGGTTTCCACGTGTTCTGGCTCGACGTGTAGGCGGGCGACTTCCTCTGGACCTGAGGCATGCAGCGGGATAAGCTTGACGTGGGCATAATCTACTGCCATCCCCTCACACACCATGGCAACATTGGGAGTGTTGAAAGCCTTCTGAAGCAACTGACCCACTTTTCTGAAAAGAGGGAGGGAAATTCAACGGCCACACTGTTTTGACTGATGGAACACTGTATTTTTACACTGTATAAGAACATGTATGTTCTGAAGAATGACATAACAAGTATGAAGATGATTCTCAAGCAGCTGGTCCATCTTCCATCTTCAAGAAAGAAAGTGAAATATATGTAATGGCCAAATTTCAGTTTATTTTTTTATTATTTTTTTTTTATTGACAAAGGCAATTAAAAACATTTCAAATGCTTCATTTTTCCACAAAGTTTACTGCTGGAAGTTTTTTCATTTTTCATTTTCACAAATTCACAACAAATTACTTTCTGAGACAAAACCAACAAATTTTGAATTAACATTTTGCAAATTAACAAAAAAAAAAAAAAAACATATTTGAGGCAAAATTGCTCATTTATCCTGTTAGGAAGTTTAGGGTTAGTGTCAAAATTACATTATTCCCAATACTTGGATCTTTTTCATTTATTTAAGTATTTCATAGCATTTTTAAGACTTGTTTCCATGGTATCACTCACTGTTGTCTCCATGGCAACAGTACTCACTACTGTAACCATGGTTACACTCACCTTGCTGCTAACATTAAAGAAACGTAGTCCTGTTCTTCTATTGCAGGAATGTTGCTTGATAACCGTTTCCGTGGCAACAGGACAGTAAAGCCCGGAGTGTTTGGAAAGGGAGTCAAAACAGCCACATGGTCTGTGTAGAAGACAGATCAAGAGAAAATTATTAATCATTTTTTTCCAGTATAATTTTGGAGTAGAAATTTAAATAGCAAAAGAAAACTCTCATCACGAAATGTAATGGGTACCTGTACAGGGTTGTATTTCCCATTTACCCCATCCACTAGCAGTCTGTGACATTAACCACACCCATTTACCCCATTCACTAGCAGTCTGGGACATAAACCACAGGCACAGTTTCCAATGCCAGGACTTATGTCTATAACATTTCTAATAATTTATTTTTAATAATAAGACCTGTCCAGGCCTGAGGATATTTTCACAACTTTTAAGTTCATGTTTGTTCTAATAAACTCGTTAAAGAGGGCTATAGCAGCTCAACCATCTGTTGCTTAGTAATGTACAAACCTTCACTTTGCCAAATACGCCATTGCTGTACTTCCCCTCTGATGATTCGACTGAAAAGATTATCATCTTTGGGGTTGCCATGAAAAGTGTAATCTTCAACAAAAGGAGGTTGGCACTGTAGAATGGAAGACTTCACTGCATCGAGGGTATCGTCCGAGGCCTTCGGTCCATCCTTGGTACTGGTGTAGCCTTTGTATTTGTCTGAGTATTCAAGGTCCTAGAATATGTTAAAATGTGCAATAATATGCAAGTATTATATTTTTATGTAGTTCAGTGGCATATCTGGGAATAAGTTGGGTTGGTATCTGTGGTGGATCCAGAGATATTTCTGATAGTCTTCCAAATTACCTTTGTTGATTCATCCTTCATTTTTGACCACCTTCCAGCAGAAAAAATTAGATATCCACCAGTGAGACTTGAAAAATTCTGACTGTCTTCTGGGAGACCTACATGACAGCTTCTGTCTGCCCTGTGGTATCACCATGTTTAAGTAATTACACCAAATAGAGAGTCTTTTTCCCTTAAACCGTACACAAATTCAATCCAACTGTTTGGATCCTTCAAAATCAATGCAGTTAGTTGGCTACATGGAGCGCAAGGGCTTTGATTAGATTACTCTTTTACCTAATACACTTGCTATCAAGTTTTCAATCTCTCAAAATGATGCAATACAGAAATACCGTGTTTGCCTAAAAAGGGTTTTAAGTCTGAATTTTTTTCTTGTAGTTCTACGGTATCCACCCTGAGCTTCAGAGCTAACTTGACACTAACCTTTTCACTGTAGCCTATCTCCATCGTGTCAAGTAACCTCTGACGAAAATAGTTTGACCTATTTTATATAAGCCAATCGAATCCATGTTTCAANTGAGAAAATTCAGCAAAGAATGAATAGAAAAACATGACAAATAATGAAAAAATGTTGCAGAAATTCTGATCTAGTTTGTTTATTTGGTAAATGGAAAGACGTTTAGCAAGTGACAGTTTGGGGTCATTCAAAGGTACTGCAGGCAAATTTGAAAAAAAAAATATAAAGATTTATTAAAAAGGAAAAGAGGGCTCCTCACACTAGGAAATAAAAAATGATGAAATAAGTATAATATTTAAAAATTTTGGATATCATTTGAGGTAAACTGATTGGAGCAGACACAGCAGACATTTAAATGAAAAGCATGCGCAGTTGCCTGTTATCATCAAAAATTCTATTTAATTATACAATCTTTCAGCAAAGCATTTCATAAAAGAAAGCATAATCCATTAATTTGGAGGTAATCAAATTTTATAGACTTGTATATTTTAAATTGGAAAATCTACTTGTTAATATCATTCTATTTTTTCACAATTTTTTTTTAGTTTTCTTTCTTAAAATTTAAGTGAAAAGAAAAAGATCAGAGAAAAAGAGCAACAATTTAACACTCATTTTTTCCTGAAAAACATCTTTTATTAAAGTGAAATAATGAAGAACATACATAATATTGGCATGCATGTACTCAAAACCAAAAATACTTTTTCATTAGTATCTTTAAATCAAAAGATGTATTTATAGGATAATGCATTAAACAAACTGCAAAGTGCTATTTTAGATTTTCATCTGGAATCTTCATTTCAACTCCACTGTTACATTGACTGAGCTGTGTCACAAAAACAAATATTTTGTATGGGTTTGATATATCACTTCATATTAAAATTTCAACATAACTACCAACATCTATTCTGCTTTGTGCGAGATACATGTATATTCCCACCCAAGCTTTGCCTCATCTGTGGAATGATCATCAAGAATTTTATGCTCAAAAATCTTTGGTCTCATAAATCTGTATTATACCCCGTTCACACTACAGTCATTTATTCGAATAAATAGCAAATTACATCCCCATTCGAATAACTGTATTAGTCTGAACGCATGAGGATTTTTGTTAACCTGATTTTCAAAATCCTGCTAGCGAGCTGGATTTTCTTCAGCGATTCGAATAACTTACCAGAATCAACACCTGTACAGATCTTACTGCGCATGTGTGCAGATAAGTGCGGGTTTCTATGAACGATTGTTTATTACTTTAGCGATTGCAATAAACGTATTTGGATGTCACCACTCACTACAACATGGGGAAACATAAGCTTATTTTGCCATCTAATACGCCCCAGAAATGCTGGAATTTCTTTTGAGTTGCATTTGTCATCACAAAAAAACAAAACGCAAAAGCTGAGTACGATTAGAGCCATAAATGGCGCCATACTTTTGTTGGTATTTTGAGTTTTCCTCGCATGCGCGAGTGTTCAAAACAGGAAGTTAAACCTTAAAATTTTAACGTGGGATTCGGTTTCACTTTGCGTGTGTGAACGCAATACCGAATCGAATTCCTCACGAAAAATTCGAATTATAGAAATGCGCAATTTTGCAACTGTAGTGTGAATGGGGTAGTGAATAAAACATAGTGTCGTAATCATTTTCTGTTACTGAAGGACAGAGTTCTTTATGGACAGTGATCTCTGATGACTGGTTGTCTGCTACCCCATTAGAGTGAGTGGGGCTGGTCATGTCCTTTTTTAGAGGGATTAGCAGGTTCTAATCCTATTAGGGGGATTAGCAGGTTCTAATCCTTTTTAGGGGGATTAGCGGGTTCTAATCCTTTTATAATGTCATACATTGGGTTGGAGAAATTGGTTGGTTTGTTGTGGTCTTCAAAATTCTCCATTTTGTTGTACTCTGGTTCCATTGCATCCTATGAGAAAAAAGATGAGCACTTTAGACCAATGAATAAAAAGAAAATTTCCAGTTAATGAAGCATAAATATAAAATGTTTTCACAGGCAATTTGTAAAAAACAAACAAACAAACAAACACCCCCCCCCAAAAAAAATACAAGAAGATGAAGCTATACACATACAATATATGCAAAATACCGAAAACTTCAAAGTTCCAAATCTTCTGTCTTTTGTCTCAACTGAGTATCCAAATTCAACCCTCAAATCTTTTACTGATCACATTTCTATACAATAAGTGACTATGTTTACCCCATTCTGTGCCACAGAACTGTCATATACAAAGTCTGGCGTGCTGATGGCCACAACATTTCCTCCATGGAAAGTCACCATTCCTGCAGGTGACCCAGTCTGAACTCGCCCCCACCACTGGAATGCAGGGCCTTGCTCATACTGAAATCATAGCAACAACTATTTCAATATGCAGGGGAATCCTTTGATATCAATACTAAAAAAATTAGATTTGGACTTATAATATGTGACTCTTTAAAAAGTTGTTCCAGGCAGTTCCTGCAGGCTGAGAAACCCATCCAACAGTTTCTTATGAACAAAAGTGCTTGGTTTTTTATGACACTTCAAGTCTCAACCAGCCACTGATTGCTGACAGCAAGGTCTATCCCTTCTAGGCAGGTCCTGCCTGCTTCTGCTTCTTGTCCACTCTGTAGGACCACTTGAAATATTTAAAAAAAATGATTTAACAAATGTCCATTTATTCAAAAGGGGACATAAAATTATGGATATATAGCACTATAAAAAACTATAAAATTACTTATTTCTTAAAGCAATAATAACTATTTCTTTAAGATTCAAAATTCCGCAAGAAATACATTATAAACAACGCATGGAAATATATATTCTTTTGCATTTTACCACTAAAACAGCTGTTATTGTAGTAAAACCATAATCTTTGCTTATCAATAGGGCTTTTGATGCCTTTCTTCCTGGTCGTTAACGCATCCGTTGCCAATGACATTGTGGTGTCACGCGGATTCTCACATTCATTCGAGACCAAAATAACTTCTGGCGCCAAACGCCTGATGCAGTACGCAGATGTAAGTTGCAAGTTTTTGTACAGTGTGTCGGATAACGAAAAGCCCAGAACTGCACACATTGTAGATATAAATAGGAAAATAAAGTGGTTTCTAAAAAAATGAAGTCCAAAAAATATACTTACAAAGTTTCCTGGATTAATCCTCAATCATCTCTTGGGACATTATCTTTCATCACTGTGATCTATGGTACTTTTCGACCCAAAAAGTTCATCTAAAATTAAGATCTGTGATTAGCTGATCATTTGACTATGACTAATGAAAAGTCTTGTCTTTGGATGATATATTTGAGAAAACTGAATATTACACTGAAAATTAACAATGCAAAATTCCACGACTTAAAATAGTTAAACATTAATAATTTAAAAAATATTGTTGTTTAATGTTTCAGAAATCTGTACAAATGATGCTTAACAAAACTAAAAATCTGGGAAAAGCTGATCAGTTGTCTGTTTCTTTTTTTAAGAGTCAAGTTTATGGGAAATTGATCATCACNTATGTACAGACACATCTGTGTCTGTACATAAAAAACGAAGCTTAACACGATTTTCTGCTATAAATGCAAAATAATGAGTATTTCAAAGTTCCAAATCTTCTGTCTTTTTTGTCAACTGAGTATCCAAATTCAACCCTCAAATCTTTTACTGATCACATTTCTATACAATAAGTGACTATGTTTACCCCATTCTGTGCCACAGAGCTGTCATATACAAAGTCTGATGTGGTGATGGCCACAACATTTCCTCCATGGAAAGCCACCATTCCTGCAGGTGCCCCAGTCTGAACTCACCCCCACCACTGGAATGCAGGGCCTTGCTCATACTGAAATCATAGCAACATCTATTTCAATATGCAGGGGAATCCTTTGATATCAATACTAAAAAAATTAGATTTGGACTTATAATATGTGACTCTTTAAAAAGTTGTTCCAGACAGTTCCTGCAGGCTGAGAAACCCATCCAACAGTTTCTTATGAACAAAAGTGCTTGGTTTTTTATGACATTTCAAGTCTCAACCAGCCACTGATTGCTGACAGCAAGGTCTATCCCTTCTAGGCAGGTCCTGCCTGCTTCTGCTTCTTGTCCACTCTGTAGGACCACTTGAAATATTAAAAAAAATTATTTAACAAATGTCCATTTATTCAAAAGGGGACATAAAATTATGGATATAAAAAAAAACTATAAAAAACTATAAAATTACTTATTTCTTAAAGCAATAATAACTATTTCTTTAAGATTCAAAATTCCGCAAGAAATACATTATAAACAACGCATGGAAATATATATTCTTTTGCAACAGCTGTTATTGTAGTAAAACCATAATCTTTGCTTATCAATAGGGCTTTCGATGCCTTTCTTCCTGGTCGTTAAGGCATCCGTTGCCAATGACATTGTGGTGTCACGCGGATTCTCACATTCATTCGAGACCAAAATAACTTCTGGCGCCAAACGCCTGATGCAGTACGCAGACGTAAGTTGCAAGTTTTTGTACAGTGCGTCGGATAATGAAAAGCCCAGAACTGCACACATTGTAGATATAAATAGGAAAATAAAGTGGTTTCTAAAAAAATGAAGTCCAAAAAATATACTTACAAAGTTTCCTGGATTAATCCTCAATCATCTCTTGGGACATTATCTTTCATCACTGTGATCTATGGTACTTTTCGACCCAAAAAGTTCATCTAAAATTAAGATCTGTGATTAGCTGATCATTTGACTATGACTAATGAAAAGTCTTGTCTTTGGATGATATATTTGAGAAAACTGAATATTACACTGAAAATTAACAATGCAAAATTCCACGACATAAAATAGTTAAACATTAATAATTTTAAAAAATTGTTGTTTAATGTTTCAGAAATCTGTACAAATGATGCTTAACAAAACTAAAAATCTGGGAAAAGCTGATCAGTTGTCTGTTTCTTTTTTTAAAAGTCAAGTTTATGGGAAATTGATCATTATCATGTACTCTGAAAGAAAACAACAAATGTGATGATTTGAGGTTGTTTGTGTAAAAAGTTGCAAATTACCTATAACTGTTATCTGGAAAACAATATATACCCATACAAGACTTCTCTTTACTACCAATGCCAGGAGCAGATTACTCCTTGCAATGTGTTTTGGGAAGGGGATGTTGCTATCACAATATTTGACAATGTCCTAAATCTTGCCAAATATCATGTATTTTACATTTGGATAAGACAAAGTGCTGCTCTTGGTGCTGTCTTTCACTGCCTGCTGTTTCATTGTAAGGGTACTCTGGAACAAGAACAATATAACTGAAAGAACTGAAAATTACATTGAAAAGAATGGCAAGTTCAGTGACTTAAAATAGTTAAACGTTAATAATTTTGTTAAATCTTGTTTAATATTTCTGAAATTTGTTCAAACAATGCTTAACAACAACAAAAATGTGTGATAAGCTGATCAGTTGTCTGTATCTAATGAAAAGGGTTTTTAGGACAATATATTTCAGAAAACTAAAAATTACATTGAAAAGACTGGGAAATCACAGGACTTAAAATAGTTAAACTTTAATAATTTTGTCAAATCTTGTCTAATATATCTGAAATTTGTACAAATGATGCTTAACAACAATAAAAATCTGGGATAAGCTGATCAGTTGTGTGTATCTTTTTTTTTAAGTGTCAAGTTTATGGGAAATTCATCATCAGAAGAGTGAGAATTAACCAAAACAAATATTTCAATATTGCAATGTATTACTTAATCTGAAAGAAAATGGCAAATGTGATTGATGTTGTTGATGATTTGAGGTTGTTTGTGTAAGAGGTTGCAAATTACCTATAACTGTCATCTGGAAAACAATATATACCCATACAAGACTTCTCCTTACTACCAATGCCAGATGCAAATTACTCCTTACAATGGGTTTCTGGGAGGGGGTGTTGTTATCACATTATTTGACAATGTCCTAAATCTTGCCAAATATCATGTATTGTACACATGGATAAGACATAGTGCTGTTCTTGGTGCTGTCTTTCACTGCCTGCTTTTTCATGGTAAGGGTACTCTGGAAAAAGAAAAAATATAACTCAGAAAACTGAAAATTACATAGAAAAGATGGGCAAATTCAATGATTTAAATTAGTTAAACATTAATAATTTTGTCAAATCTTGTTCAATATTTCTGAAATTTTAACAAATGATGCTTAACAAGAATAAAAATCTGTGATTACCTTATCAGTTGGCTATGTTTAATGAAAAGTGTTTTTAAGGACAATATATTTTGGAAAACTGAAAATTTCATTAAAAAGACTNACTGAAAATTACATAGAAAAGACGGGCAAATTCAATGATTTAAATTAGTTAAACATTAATAATTTGGTCAAATCTTGGCCAATATTACTAAAATTTGACCAAATGATGCTTAACAAGAATAAAAATATGTGATAAGCTGATCAGTTGACTGTGTCTAATGAATAGTGTTTTTTGTGAAAATATATTTTGGAACACTGAAAATTACATAGAAAAGACGGGCAAATTCAATGATTTAAAATAGTTAAACCATAATAATTTTGTCAAATCTTGTCCAATAATTATGAGATTTGTACAAATGATAATTAACAACAATAAAAATCTGTGATAAGCTGATCAGTTGACTATATTTAATGAAAATTGTTTTTTGGGACAATATATTTGGGACAACTGAAAATTGAAATGAAAAAACTGGCAAATCGCAGGCCTTAAAATAGTTAAACTATAATAATTT